GCACCCAGCAGCAGAGCTGGCCCCAAGCCCCCCTTTCCCCAGGCAAAGGGCCGCGTTAGCGGTGTCGGAGGAGGTTGATCGGCCGCGAAGACGCTGCAGGGAGGGCGGTAGCATGGTTTGAACACGGGCAGCTCGGTCGTGGGAGTGGCCGTTTGCCGGCGATACTGGGTTTTAGTTACAAGAAGGGATTTTCAGTTAGAGACTCTCCAGAAACAGTGCTGGTAAAGCTCTTCAGAGTTTATCAGCTCCTTTTTACCCTGTGCAGTTTGGGCTTAAAGTTTCCCCAAATCAAATTTCTTGGAAAAAAATAAGAAATCTACAGGATAAAAATCTCCAGAATTGACTAAAAAATCCAGTTACTGCAGCCACACGGTGTATTTTCTTGCTTGCACGAATGCAAATACCTGTGTATTTTCTTTCCTCCTAGAGAGCACCTTTTAGCCTGTCTCCAGGACTAGCAGGGACAGAGACATTTCTCTGCTCCTCATCAGGGCGGGCTGCGCCTGTCACTGCTCAGACTGTTTATTTGCACAGCCGTCAACATCAAATTAGTGGCTAGGCGCAGTCCCTGTGGTGGCTCCAAGGGCAGGAGCCTGTGTACACAAGGGAAACTCTGATGAAGCACGTTGCTGGGTGTTTATACAGCAATACAAGCCCTGCTGCATACTCTGCTTAAGTGGATGGAGCAGGAATATCTAAATTTCCGCAAATTAAGGAAAGGCAGGAAACAGCCATCTCCTCCTGAATGCACTCGCTTTCTTTTCCTTGAGACAGATTTGCAATTAGCCTCCTAACTGGACTTGCTGGACAAGCTATTGGTCTTGTCCAGCCCTGTGCTCAGCTTGCAAATCACTGGGAAATCTCACCAACCTACCAGTAGCAGGCAAGGTGGCCCTCCTGAGCCTTGGATCTGAAGAAATCCTGGAGGAATAAGTGAGAGAGGTCTGCAGGCTTCCTTCTAAACCCTGCGAAGGGCCCACAATGTAACCCCTTGGTCGCAGAAGCTCAAGCTATTTCTCTGCCAAAAACTTGGGGAGTTAGAGATAATAAAAATCCTTCGTATCCTTATCTCAGTTTTGTTTGCAAAGTGCTTTGCAGGGTGTTGAGAGCTCATCTGGGAGCAGTCAAGAAGAGCCATCCTCAGCTCCTGCAGAGCGCTTGCTCTGACACGCCACAGCACATGTGGAGGTTTCCTGTGTGTGGAGCGAGCAAGCCACGAGAAACAGGCCTGGCCAACAGCAGACACATTGCACAAGCCAAAAAAAAAAAAAAAAAAAAGAGTGTATTTAAAGCACCAGAGGCCTCATCCTGCAGTGGAAGCATCTTTTCTGTCACTTTTGAAGAACCCAGGCTCAGCCTGCGCCTGGGCAAGGTGTCCTGCCTCATCCTGGTGGGGAAGCAGCCCTTCAAGAGATTTGGTTTTGCTTTCTCCAAGGAGGAATCAATGTTGCTGTCTTTTCTTTTTAAGGTGCAATAATGCCCTTGGGTGATGTGTCCCATGGCCAGGTGGCCTCAGCTTGCTGCCCTGTAATGAGATGGGGATGCATCTCCCTGATGGTGTTTGTGGCAGGCAAGCAGCTTTTTTGCTGCCATGGGAAAATTGGCTTCTTCTGCTGTTCTGCTCCTCCCTGTCATGACTGTCAGCACTGGGACTTCAGTTTACTCCCCTTCTCCTTCCTGCTTTCCTCCTGCATCAGATCAACTTCACATATGTGTTTTCTTCCCTGGCATTCGCTGCCTGGCAGCTAGCTGGAGCAAACCAAGAGCTGGAGCTCTTGTTTCAGGATCACAAGGACTTTGCCAGCTTCTACAAGTCCTCTGAGATCCTAGTTTTAAACCATTTGTGAAACTCTCGCCCTGGTCTAATTTTCTTTGCTTGCCTTTAACATGGCCTGGCACGGTGTTTTGACCGTCACCCAAAGACAATGCTAAGCAAAACGTAGTTCAGACTTAGCTACATATTCACTTCTTTCTCACTTCAGTTAATGCTTATGTGCAGTGTCTGCTGACCACACAGATCAGTCACATATACCTTGATCATGCATTAACAGTGCTGTACAGATCATGTCATAATCGGTTTGACCTTGCAAAGCAATTCTTATTACCAAAAGTTTCACATGGTATTAACAAAAATGATTTTTTTTTATTCAATGGTTGGGATCCATTTTGTCTCCTTAGATAAGAATGTAGGTTCCTTGTTGACATGCCCTGAAGTCAGTTCACTTGTATCAAACTTTGCATATATTTTCCTCGTGTGTAACCTATAGGACACACTGATGACATCTAGATCTTCATTGTGCTCTGATCAGCTCTGATCTGCCTGGTTTCAGCCCTGCAGTATGAGCCTGACCTGTGTCTGTAGCATCATGTTGGTGTGCCCTGCCTTACTGCAGAACCAGGGTCCTAAGCATGACTGTTAGCTCAGGCCTGTGCCAAATGCTTCCCGGTCAGGAGGAGGGCTCATGGGGATGCTCTTGGATGCAGAGGGAACTGGAGATGACGTGTTGGTGGGTCCCACAACAAGACCTTGAAGGTGGATCCTTTGGACCAACTAAGGTGTGGAGACCCATGCTAGTTCCCACGCAGGAGCTCCCCTGGTGTCACACGGGAGGTAGCTATTTCTATATCCCCCGCTATTTTACCCCAGAAGGGAGTTCTGTGTTTCCCTGAGAGGTGCCATCACATACAACAGATTCTCTGACATTCTCACCCCTTTTCCAGATGTTAACATTTCTCAGATGTTATCTCCCTGCCTAGACAAGCCCTCAGATGATTTTATCTCAAGAGAAGTTGTTCCAAGAATAAGAATCTCTCGCTACAGGCCCACAGCTTAAAATATCTATCAACAATCAGTATTTTTAAACAATTTCCAACCCCTGCCAAAAAAAAGCAGATCCTTTGCTGTGTTTGGATTTCTAGTGTTCCATCACATGGCTTGTCCCTGGGCAGTTCACAAAATGTTCCATTGGGAAGATATATAAATACAGAGGAATCTGCCATATCCAGCCTCCTAGTCTGATAAGGACCAGAAAAGATCCTGGGAGACCTTCTGGCTGCCAGCTTATAAATTTTTATAGCATCTTTCTGGTCTGGGTCAAGACCATTAACCAGCCCTGAACGTATGTGTATGTGGTGCCACCACTCACTGGATGCTGTGATTTGATAAGTCCGAAGCCTCCTAAACACACAATAATTTGCATAGCTCTGGTTTATGATTCCCTCAGATAACATCACCCGTTGCTCACTTCCTTGTTCGCACACAGCTTACGTGCTGACAGGCCCTCACACTTCTAGTGTCCTATCAATAAATATTTAACTTCATTTTACCCAGAACAGCATCATGCAGGAAATCATTTTCTCTAAATAGTCTTAGTAATCTTATGTTAGCTTTTAAAAGGGTGAAGGTAGTGATTCTCCTCTTCCTAGGAAAGCTGAACCCTTCGCATCACCCATCCCGGGACATCTCAGGCCATCCTGGGCACTGTGCACCGAGGGCAGGGTACAAACCAGATAGTATCATGCACTCAGAGAAAGATTTAGCCTTGGAGGACCCTTTGGGAGGATCTATCTGGTCTCTCTTCCATTTCCTGACCAGAGCAGGGTTAACTTCAGAGCCACGTAGGTTTGTGCAGGCCCTTTTCAGTTCTGGTGGTGATGCCCTCATGGGTGGTGATCTCTTTCCAACTCTTTGGGCCTGTCTCACAGGTGAACCACACTAACAGGGAACGTTTTTTTCATTACGTCCAATTGGAATGTCTCTACTGCAGCTCGTGCTGTTGCCTCTTGCCCTTTCACCGCGCACCTCTGAGAAAAGTCTACTTCTGTCTTATCTATATCCTCCCTCTAGTAAGGAAGGTAGCTATTATGTCCCCTAAAAGCCTTCTCTTCTGCATGTGAAAAAAAGCTCAGCTTCTTCAGCATCTCCTTATATTCTGTGTGCTCCCGTTTCAAC